CTCTTCTCCGCGGGAGAAGCTCCTCGTGTGTCCTCTCCGTGCCCCGCGGGATAAGCCCCTTGTTGTGTTCCGTCTGCATCTCCCAGGGATGAGCCCCTTGTGTGTCCCCGCCCCGTCATCCCGGGATGAGCCCCTCGTGTGTCCCCTCGTTTCCCCACCGTGTCTCCGCGATGGTGCCACCCACGCCCCCGGGCTGTCTCGCACCCTCGGGTGGGTTCCCTCGTTTCCCCACCGTGTCCTCGCGGTGGTGCCTCCACATCCCTGGGGTGGTGTCTCCTAGGGTTGGTCCCTGCTGAATCCAGGCTGGGACCCTCCACATCCCTCCTTTGTCCACGAATCAGTCCCCTCATTTCCTTACTCTCCCCTCCCACGGCCCCGGGTGGGTTTCCCCCGTCTTTGGGTTGGTTCCCAGGCCACAGACCCGTACATCCCTGGGCTGGTCCCTGGGCTGGTCCCCATGGCTCTTCCTGCTTTACTTCCAGACAATTGGAGCTGCCTTTGTGGCCAAGGTGATGTCCGTGGGGGACCAGACAGTGACCCTGGGCATCTGGGTAAGTGCTGGGGCAAGAGCTGTGCCAGAGCCTCGCTGACATCTCTGACCACCCACTGACTCGGGGACCCCTGAAATCCACCAACCCTTGTTCCCCTGCTGAGCACTTCCCTGTCACCCCCAGGACACAGCTGGCTCGGAGCGCTACGAGGCCATGAGCCGCATCTATTACCGTGGGGCGCGAGCTGCTGTCGTCTGCTACGGTAAGGGCATGGAGGATGGGCAGGGGAGGGAGCACCGTGGTGGCTGTGGAGGTCCTGGGCTGGGGTGGTGGTAGTACTGGTGAGTCAGGCACCAAGGAAGGCAGTGAGCAAACCCTGACCCTTCTCCCCAGATCTCACCGACAGCGGCAGTTTCCAGCGAGCCAAATTCTGGGTGAACGAGCTGCAGAACTGTGAAGAGGTATGGGAGACTGGGGGGCTGTAGAGCCTCACTATGGGGCAAGGGGAGCTGGTGGTGGACGCATCTCTCCCACCCCTCTGCCTGCTACAGGGCTGCCGGATCTACCTGTGTGGCACCAAGAGTGACCTGCTGGAGGAGGACAGGAGAAAGCGAGGGGTTGACTTCCACGATGTGCAGGACTACGCTGATGGTATGGCCGTGCTTTGGGCTGGGCAGTCCTGGCGCTTTCCAGGCTCCCACAGCACCGAGTGGGTGGTGGGGAAGGGGAATGGAGCTGCTGAATCTGTGAGTGCCTGGGAGGCACAAGGAGCTCTGCCTATGCCCTGGAAACGCAATGGATCTGGTGGCACCAGGGCTTCCTGTGAGGTGAGGACCCGGCTTTGACAGGGAGCTCCCTGGGCATGGCATGTCCTGACAGGGGCAGGCACATGGCCAGCTGGGCCAAGGAGCCGGGAGCACAGAGCCCTGAGCCCTGCCCTGGGCTCCTGCCAGCCCGCTGTCAGCCGTGCCCGAGGGTGACTCTGAGGTCACCTGAGCCTGTGGGGCCACGTCCTGCACCTGGTTTAGGTGCCACCCTCAACCCTCCTTTCAGAGATCAAAGCAGACCTCTTCGAGACCTCCAGTAAGACAGGCCAGAGCGTGGGTAAGTAGCCTCTCACTGGGACTGAGCAAGGCTGGAGGGCTCTGCCTGGGAGGGGGGCACCCACACCCACTGTGCCCACTCTTCCCTCAGATGAACTGTTTCAGAAGGTGGCTGAGGACTACATCAACTTCTCTGCCTTCCAGGTGATGACAGGTGAGTAGCAGGAACTGACCTTCCTGTTCCAGGGGGTGCTGGGTCCTCCTCTAGGCAGGGTGCAGAGGATGAGCACTGGGAGGTCTGGCAGGGCCCTCCCTAGGATGGCTGCTGCTCTGTGCTGGGGATTGTCCTGTGGAATTTGGGTCCTGTCACAGCATCCTTGTCCCTGCTTGGGCCAGCCCCAGCACACCTGCCTGGCTAGGCCACAGTGGCCTTTGGCAGCCAGGAGCCGATCCAGGCTGCAGGAGTGGCTCAGCCCTGCCTAGGCATGATCAGTACCAGCTGTGCCTCCCACCCTGGGTTGTGCCATGGCCCTGAGCCTTGCTGCTTCTCCGTGGGACACCAAACCCTCCCCACGGGACCTTCCAGGGCCCATGCCTGAGACCAGCAGCTTTGGGGCTGCCATGTCATCGTGCGTGGACGTGCCGACAGCCTGCATGCACCCCTGCTTTCTTCCAGAGGAGAAGGGTGTCGACCTGGGCCAGAGGAGCAATCCCTACTTCTATAGCTGCTGCCACCACTGAGCCCTCGTGCCAAAAGGGAAGCACTGCTGCCAGCCGGGCAGCTGGTGCGCGCCGGACTCCTCCGGATTTTTACCTGCTGTTTTAGCTGTTTGGGCACTCAGCCCGTGGACTGCTCTCCTCCTGCACATGGAGCGGCACAGGGCTGCCGGGCAGTGCCAGGAACCATGGACTGCCACCCTTGGGGACTCTCTCCCTGCCACCTGTGGCATTGGTGGGAGCTGCTGTGGGCCCAGTGGTGGCTGTTAACTTATTCTCTCAAGAGATGCTCGATTCTTTGCAATTTATTTAAGCATCTTCTCTCGAGATGTACAATGTAAATAAAACGCATTGTGGTCTGAGCCATCCCCCTCACCTGAGGCTGTTGGGGCTCTCCCTTCCCTGCCCTCCCCCAGCTCGGCAAGACAAACCACAAGATGACATCGAGAGTAAAGTTAAACTTTACTTTACAGTAATTTTTCTTCTATATACAAAGAATTACAGTACATGTTCTGGGAGCACCTGGGCAGGGCAACCCTCTTTTCATTATAAGTTTCACATACACAGCCAACAGTCTAAGGGGAGCAAAATGAAAGTAATCAATGGTCCAAGACTCTCCCCTCTCCCTCTTCTAAAAATAATATACATGC